AGCTGAATGACCTTAGGCAAATTGCTTTCAATTTGGGGACTTCATCTATAAAACATTGTTCTCTTCCAGCTATAATTATATTTGGTATTAAGATTATCTCAAAGGAAGTGACAAATAATAATGAAAGGAGAGTGCTTGGGTAAAAGCAAGCCATTCTAGGTATCATATACTTTTTTTGTCTTGAAATTCACTCGTTAATGAGCAAATGTATGCATTAAAATTTTCCCCAAAGACTTATATTATAAATTTATTGACTGATTGTTTGTCTCTTCAGTAAGCATTCATGAATGCCTTCTCCATGCCAGAAACTGTGTTGGGTATTCTGAGATCAGAGATGAAACATATATTCTATGCCTTACAAGAGCCCACATTCTAGTAATGGAGACAGAGAAGAAAACATAAGCTTAGGTGTTAGTACTGTTCATAATCAACAAATATTTTCTGAGCACCTAGTAAGCTAGGGATGCATCGGTAAATAACACTGAAAGTGATTTGTTTTTTATGGAGCTAATATTCTGGTGTGAGGATTAAACAATAAAGAACAAATGTGAAAATGATCAATGATGTGGTATGACAGAAGGTAAAAAAAAATCATAGGCTCAAAAAAAATGTAGAACCAGGTTATAGGGAAATGGGGGTAACTGTAATGAGGGTGGGGAGAGGAATGCAGTTTTAAGGATGGCCAGAGTAGGTCTCATTGAGTAGGGCAACACTGAAGTAAAACTTGAAGGAAGTAACGAACCGATGAACTGCTGGGATATCTGGGGCAGGAGCATTGCAGGCTGAGGGGATCGGCAGTGGAAAAGCCCTAGTACCACAAACAAGGGTGACTGGAGGGAAGTCAGAATGAGGGACAGGAAAGGTCAGATGACAGGAAAGCTGTAAAGACAGGGATGGGCACAGTAGGTAGGACATTTTAAGGATTCTGACTCAGTGTGAGTGAAATGAAGGAATTCCTTAAGGGGTTTGTCCAGAGGAAGGATTTTTGTGGGACATCCTGGCTGTCATGTAGAAAATAGGTTGTGGAGGCTGGGTTGGAGGTGGGTAAGAGTAAATCAATTAGTAGGGTATTACAGAAATGTACACCAGAGATGTTGATGGCATGGTAGCCATTGAGATAATGATAACTGTTCTGGCTCTGGATCTATTACAAAGATGGAGCTAACAAAAGTTTTCTGTGTGGGTTGAATGTAAGGTAAAGGGGTAGGCAAAAATCTAAGAATGATACAGGAAAAAGAGAAGGGGCTTTTATCCCAGTTTGGAAGTCCAAGGAGTGCTTCCTGAAGCAGGTGTCAATTAAACTGAATCTTAAAGAGACAAGGAATAAGTGAAGGTACCAGATAAGGAAGGTGGGGATAAGGTGAGAGTATTCTAGCTAAAGAACTAGCATTTACAGAGAGTTTGAAGGCAAAAATAAAGACATGACATGTTTGGGGAACTTCAAGTAGTCTTGATGGAAGGAAGGGTGAATATGGACTGTATAGCAAGAGGTGAGTCTAGAGAGCCAGGTAGAGGTTAGATCCTATACCAGGAAAGCTTACTGTTTAGAAGAATCTTTAGTAAGGCACAGTTCTCAAAACTCCATTTTACAAAAGGAATATCTAAAGTGGGTTAGCTGCAAACCAGACCCCTGTTGTCCAATGCAGGGTTAGCTAGTAGGAATGTACCAAAACATTAGGGAAAATTTAAATCTATTTAAAAATTCTCAAGAGTCCTAGTTTCTGCCTATAATGATGATTGCTATTAGGGCATTGACTAAAAGTATACCTTGTCAGAAGAATCTTGGAGTGTACAAGCAAATGGCTAGATGAAGACTTTTTAAATACCTAATTGAGATTGTTTAGTATCTGCTAAAGTTTTTTATTATGGCTAGTACATTGCCATAATATTCATGTTAGAACAACAGAGATACTATTCAGAAAAAATGTAAAACAAGCCTTATTTTCAATAGTACTAACTGGGAAAAAAATTCAGTATGTCTTAATCTTAAGGCAATGAAATAGGATATAATACACATGTATGCAAATCATTTTGCCTATTTCCAAGTAAAAAATATATGCATATAATTAGTCATATACAAGTTCCTATAAACATCTGCATTTTATAACCTGTATTCTCTTTTTTTTTTTTTGATTTGTAGTCTCACTCTGTCACCCAGACTGGAGTGCAGTGGCATGCTCACGGCTACCGCAGACTCGACCTGCTGGGCTCAGCAATCCCTCCGCCTCAGCCTTCCAAGTAGCTGGAACTACAGGCGCATGCTACCACGCCCAGGTAATTTTTTATTTATTTTAGAGATGAAGTCTCGCCAAGTTGCCCAGGCGGGTCTCGAACTCACGGGCTCAGGCAATCCACTCACCTTGGCCTCCCAAAGCGCTTGGATTACAGGCTGAGCCACTGAGCCCGGCCACCTGTATTCTATTCTATATGTGTACACACATACATACACACACACACATTCTTTCTAGCAAGGTGCTAGATTCTTATAGTCAACTCTTTGGCTTATTATTATTATTATTATTATTATTATTATTATTTGAGTTGGAGTCTCACTCTGTCGCCCAGCCTGGAGTGCAGTGGCCGCTCCCGGCCACTGCAGCCTCGTCCTGCTGGGCTCCGGTGATTCTTCCACCTCAGCCTTCCGAGTAGCCGGAATTACAGGCATGTGCTACCATGCCCGGCTGATGTTTTCGATTTATTGTAGAGATGAGGTCTCGCCTTCCCAGGCGGGTCTCGAACCCGCGGGCTCAGGCAATCCACTCACTTCAGCCTCCCAAAGGCGTGGGATTACAGGCTGAGCCACCGAGCCTGGCTTATTATTATTTTTTAATGTACTATTTAGCATATTGGTATCATCCAATAGTAATGCATTTTCTTGTCCAATTTTCATTGGTAAGAATATTTACTTTGTGATAGGTCTAAATTTCTTTTCCTATATGTAGTTTGAATCTGTTTTTCACCCTCCTACTCTCTTCAGAGACAGAGAATGACTAGTAATGTCTGACAAATTGAGAAGACTAAAATAGCACTTTGTGGTCAGGTCTGCACAGCCAAACTGAATGGTAGACTTGAAGCCAATAATTGAACAAGACAGACAAAAGAAGATACTTTTGTCTTATTTATCCAAATAATGGCCTTATATATTCACTTTTCTTTGCCGTTTAAAACCCATGCTATCACTGGAATGAAGGAAAATGTTTTGGTTTCATAAAACACTGTTCAAAGTCTTTCTGGATTCTAAGAATTTCCTTGATTTTAACGATTGATGAGTGAATATATCTGTATATTTGCATATTAAGGAGTGAGGAAAAAACTAGAATAACATAATTAATTAATATATGTGGTGAATAAAGATAAATAATATCCCTTAGTGTAGTCTGATGGGGTGTGTGTGCTAAAGTATCTTATCCATCTTTAAGAATTGAAGTGCATTGTAGATACTATTTATGGATACCTCAGAGTTTGTTTATATTTGGAATAAATATACTCTTTTTTCTGACTCTAGGGTCAATTCTTATTTTCTGGAGATGTAAATAGGAACTAATCTGAGATTTTGAGATGAATGATGATTTACTACTATTTTAATATTTTTGTTATTTGGGAATATAGGATATAAAAAGGTTTAATCCTTAAATAAGTGCTTAGTAGTCATTCTAATGGTAAAAAGTGGTATCCATCAGATGAATAGGAGGGAATACTGAATTTATTTTCACTTCTTTTGGATCCCCCTGGGGAGAATGAAGAGAAGAAAATATGTAGAAAATGGAAGTTGGTAATTTTGGGGCTTATTTTCAAGGCTGTCTTGGGGTGAGAATGAATTCTGGAATAGAAGCCAATGGTTATGGGGTCCTTTCTCTGTACTTCCAGTCATTTCATAGACCACTTGACTTCAATATGATCACCTATAAGGGAGATGTGCAAACTGCCATGTGCTCCAATGGTAGTATGATTTGAGCATACAAACTTTCAGGCTTTGAATAACAAATCCATTGTGTAGACTAGAATAATGCCCTAGTGGCATGGGAAATTATTCGTAATTTAGGCAAACAAACATTTTAACATTGTAATGTTTTTGGTATCAATCACTTGTGTCCAATAATATTACTTACCATTTTATGATTGGGATTAAGCTCTAGTGCCCAGAACCAGTACCTTAATGAGATGATATCATATGTACCTTAGAAGAGAATGCACAGCTAAAGATTTTATGCTTTTTATGTTAGTAATGCATTCAATTCACTACTATATTGAGAGATATTTGGACCACATTTATAAATAAATGAAGCAGCAAAACCACTTGAATATTAAACGTGTGCTTTTGCATGCTTAATATTATATCAGAGTGACTTCCATTGGTCTTCAGCTTGCTTATACTCAAGCTCACAGTAAAAGAGTTTCATTTAATAACATAATTTGAGAAAATCCCTAAATCTTTATATCCATATGTAATTGTTTCTATAAAACAGAAAAATAAACTTGAATGCCTAGAAATCACCATGGTCTGGGTAGCTTCCCCATTTTGCTCCTAATTAGGCTCTGGGAAAACACTGACTTTTTTTTTCCTTTCACCCACTGTGAAAGTGATGGGATTCTTTTGCTCAAATCACCCACAAAGAGGGCTTATAAGTTCATGTTCCTTAGAGAGTTGCCAATTCTGCTAAAGAAGATTAAATGCCCATAACACACATGTCATATCCTGCAGCTAACAACAAGAAAGGGCAAATCTAGTATGGCCCTAATCTGGGACACTACCACAGTGGGCTATCAACCCAGCCTAAGGCTCCTGTCATTGTCATGTGGTGTACCAGCCAAGATATTCATTCGAAAATGAGTAAGAACATCAAAGAGCCATCACACTGTATCCTGGAATATTTGTTTAACAGCGTGAACCCTTTTTGCAGCTCTTAAACAATGAATTCTGGGCTGGAGGCAGAAGTGTGTGATTTTGTTTGATTTCACCCGTTTGCACCACGGAAGATGGTGAAAGGCTCTTTGCTTACCCGTGAAGTTGATTTTCAGCAGGTAATCCTTGTACAGCTTCTTCCCATCCAAGATCTTCATGGCATCACAAAGCTTGGTGGTGTTGGGGCAGAGGGTGCGCTGCATTTTGTGCAGGGCGTGGGCCATGGCATACACCGCATTCACCACAAACATGATCTTGGATTCCTGCTCATAGTTGGTGCTGTCAATGGCCAGGTGCTTGTCGCAAACGCGCCTGTGGTTCCGCTTGTTCTGGAGGCTGCACTGGAATTTCTGCTCCCAGAAGTCCCGGAACCAGGGGTTGCGGTGGTTGTTGTAGGGATTGAGACTCTGGAAGTAGCGGTCGAACTGGCGCACGGGCTGCGAGGCCAGCTCCAGGGTGATGGCGCCGTAGGCCACGTGCTCGCTGCCCTTGACGATGCTCTCCTGTGCGCCCCAGCCGTCGCTGGCCACCCAGGTGAAGGAGGCGTTGGCGCGGCTGGCGGCGGCGATGAGCTCGCGCGAGTCGTCGCTGCGCATGAAGAGGACCACCACGCGCGCGTTGGGCTTCTGCAGCAGCTCGCGGATCACGCTGTCGTAGGACTTGCGGATGTTGGAGCGCCCCACCTTCTCGGCCGTGGCGATGCAGATGTTGCGCAGGCGCGCCTCCTGCTCGAAGGCCTCGATCCCGGTCTCCCCGTAGTCACCCTCCGAGGCCACGGTGGACACGTAGGTCCAGTTGAAGAAGCGCAAGATCTCGGCCATGGCCTTGGCCTGGTAGAAGTCGGGGGGCACGGTCCTGGCAAAGTAATCATAGCGCGACTTGTCGCTGAGTTTGGCGCTGGTGGACGCGTAACTGATCTGAGGGATCTGGAAGAGCCGGAGCAGGTTTGCCACCTGGAGGGGAGACAGGGGACGTGCCTTTATGAGAAATCCGGAGCGAAGTAACTGGACACGAAAATGAATCATGACTTCCGTACCTTTTACCGAGCTCCCTCATCTCCTGTAGACCGTTACCGGTTTTTAATAGTTCCCGAGATACTTTTCCGAATACTACTACCATTTGGATATTAGGGAGCAGGTCCAAGCACGTAGTGCATGCTTCGCGAAGGGCATAGAGATGAGAAGAAATACACTCCGCTAGACTCTAGGCCGGGATAAAGCCTGCTCAGGTGCCCTCAGTGTGGTTGCTTTAAGTTTCTGGGGTCCTGTTATAGCTCAAACAATGTACAATGAATTGACCAAACTCGGTTTTTAGAAAACTTGGCGGCAGTTGTATAGAAGGAGCCTGGGTGTTGTCTAATTCTCACCTCCCCCTCTTTTGCTAAAAATGGCAGTCTCTGAAAAAGTTTAATTTGGGAACTGTATGCCACATGGACAGTCCAGATTAGACATTTATCATCTAGGTTAAGAAAAAAAGTCAATTCTACGGAAATTCTATTTAGTCCACCCCAAATTTTAGACATACGCTTTTCTAAACTTCTGGAAATTTTGACCGTTGTCTTTCCTTACTTGCTTTTTCTTTGAAAAAAAAATGTTTCTTGGACTATGTGAAAATAAATCACACAAATATACTGTTCTCACGGATTTTTTTTGATTAACAATCAAATAAGGAAATCTCAGAGACCTTGTCAAGAACAGTCCACCTACTTCAAAATATTTAAAGCCAATTCTGAATTAAAATTTAAAAATTTTTGTAATTCAGTTATCAATAAAATTTCATTATTTTTATTTGTTGTAGAATTAAAAAGGAAAGTGACACTAGTTTATCAAGAAGAATTTTATGTATAAGGTATTTGTGAAAATATGTATTTACAGATATCTAAACAGATTATATGGTTATCTAATAAATTGATTTTTATTTCTCCTGGCTACCCCACATGTTCTGAAAACTTTTACCTATGCTTATTTTAGGTATATAATATACGAAGTGGCTTTAATCGGAAATATTGAATATTTCGATATACTCCATGTACATTGGAATACATATTAGTACTTTGAAATTGTCTTTCTGGAAATTGTGGTTTCACATTTATATTTGGCATGTAGGAAGCACAGCTTGAAACAGGCAGCTGTTAGCAAAGAGCACAAGCAACATAAAACAACTGACATCTGAATCCTGATTAATCATCATTTCATCTGGCAAAGGAAACCAACAAGCCAAGTTCATACACAGCTACACAGCATGTTCTTGGAGATCTGGCCAGTTATTAAAACCAACACTTGATATAGCCTAGAGCTATCAAAAACATTTTCTATATCTTTTCCAATCCTGATAATTCTCACTTACCCATAAATAAAACAGCTAGAAACCTCGGGCTTAACATGCAATACGATACTAATTTAAAAACCCAAAGTATTTCTTGCTTTTATTATTCTAGGAGATGGGTGAATTTTGAGGAATGGAAGTGGTAAGTAGATCAAGGGGTCAAGGCTAGTATACCATTTCTTCCTTCTTTTTAAGGGAACCAGAAGACCCTGGACAAAATGGCCTATACTGACTCATTTGAGTCATTTGGGGAGTTTTGCTTATTTACTCAGGCTGATTGAAGTGGCAAGTGGCATTGAATAGGTACTGTCATTACTTCTAGAATGAGTACCCAGCTTCCACTGGATTTATGTATCACTACGGCAGCTTTGGTGATAAGAACCCTGTCTGTGCATAGGGCTGACTTGATTATGAAGTTTCTGGCTAGCACTAGAGAGGCCATCTTTTCTTTGATGCAGTAGTGTCATATTCACCAGGACCTGAATCCCTCAGGGAGACAGAGAATGAAAGGACTTAGAAACTATCCAGAGACTATTTTCTGGCAGTTAGGAGCTACAGTAAAAAGATCCTAAACTGCTGAAACTTTCTTCTCCCAGAAGAGTAGGAGTAATGAGCGACTGCTCAAGAAAAAAAAAAAAAAGTTCTTGGTTTTTAACTAATAGGATCCTGTGGCTTCATGTTACGTCTCCAGGATGCCAGAGAACAATTTACAATCAAGGCAGACTGTACAAGAGAATGAACTAGCCAGAGAATAATGGCAATATGGAAAAGATTCTCTGCACTAGGAAGGGGCACAGTGAGCTATAGCCTTTTTTGGGGGGAAGGTAGTTAGCTAGAACAAAACAGCAGTGATTGTCATCATTTTAAGGATAATTTTGTAATCCTTTGTGCATGTGTGTTTAATGAGGAGACCACAACCAACTGTGGAAAAGGCACATTTGGTGAGTTAAAAATGAGAATGGAGCACTAATAAGTAAGTATTACCTCAGCTATATCACTTATAGTGAATAGCATGGAACAATAATATAGTCCAGTTATTGTATTCAGTGTTACATTAGAAACACATGTAATACAAATGAATCATAGAGCAAAGTGTTGAAGTACTGTTCCTTTTCAAATTAGTTTCCTTAGATTATAGGGGTAAAAATGCTTAATTTAAAAGTAAATACCATTGGAGGCAGTAGATTATATATCTCTTTTCCTTCTTTTTTTCTCATCCATCCCAATCTCATTTTTAGAGAAGAATAATGTTCATAGTTTGGTTTGGTTTATGCATTTTAAAAATGTTTGTTCTGTTGTAAAGCCAGTTACCAATGTACTGGGGATATATATATACACACAGAGGGAGTGCCAGAAAAATGTATACATATTTTGAGTATAACGTTTGCTCAAAAGATGGCATTAATCAAATGAATGCTAGCATCACCCTGTGAGAGGCAAGACAGTCAAAGAAAATGGAGGAAGCACGGATGAGCAAACATCATAGTACACATTGCTACCATAATTTAATTCAACTTTGAAAAGTAATACATAGACAAATCCCTTAAAACGTGTATACATTTTTTGGTACTATATGTTTATATATTTTCTTTCTCTTTTGATATACTCAACAGTCTTTTATGGCAGATATTAGCTTCTTTATTTTAGAGATGTAGAAACTGACTTCTGCCAGGTGAGGAAACTTGTTCATAGTTACAAGGTTAGAATGTGGGGCAGAATCAGTGTAAAACCACATCTTTTGGCTTCAAGTACCATGCCTATCCTCTCACAGCTTCCTCTCTACCCTCTACTGTGTGACTGTGAACCTGAGGTCTCCAGCACAGAAAGACATCCAGGCAGAATGGTTAGGGACAAAAGCAGTGTTATAGTATACACCACAGATGCTTAGTTGCTGTTAGCAGGAATTTTCTTTCTAATAATTTTTAAAACGTAGGCCAGGGGATATACAGGATGCTCTTAGTTGGATTCCTGTCTCATCTATCTACAAGCTGGGCATCTGAAACATTTCTGACTTGCTTTATTGGCCATATGGTTTCTCTGAGAAAACATGAAGAAATAAGGGAACTCCTACACCGGACATCATTTTGAATGATAAAAGGAGAATTGTTTTAGAATGGGGAAGTAATGTAAAATTTTGGAAGAAAGTTACCCAATTATGTTATTATTAGAAGGAGTGGAGGAAGGAAGAACAGGACCTAGTTATGTGTGTTTTAGAAAAAAAGTTTCAAAGTAGATACATAGATACAGATCCTAAAATGGAATATAGCTTAAGAGAGACAGGAGGACTTGAAAAATAATCCACACAATACAGGACAATCTCAGCAAGACAGAGATGAGACCGCCAAAGAATCTACTGGGCTGCTGGGCTGCTTAGGGGATTTGGGTGTTTAAAGAACCAATGACACAGGCTGACTGTTGGTGGTGTGTTGGGGGCATCCCCACACATAACATAAAATATCTACATGAGCCTATAATAAAAGAGGGACACTAAAACACAGATGTGAAAATGGACCAAGTGATTTTTTTTGTTGCTATCTTTTGTTTTGAAATAAGTTTCAGGGAAAGATGTAGCAGGAAGAGAATCATTGGATGGAAAAGTTGGTTCTATATGAGTAAAAGAAAGACACTGCTCAGTCCCTCTTGGTTTCTTATTCTCTTTGCTGAGAATGATTTCTAACATGGAAGTGGTAGTACAAATAATATGAAAAGGTTACCTCACACCAAAGTAAAAGAAAATGTCAAAATACAAAAAAAAAAAAAAAGCCCATGCTCATATGAATCGAATTTTTCCCCAGTAATGAGTTCTGGAAGAAATTACGGATTCGATTATGGAATCACTCTCAAAGTTTTTCCCCAGTAATGAGTTCTGGAAGAAATTATAGGTTAGATTATGGAATCACTATCAATAATCTTTGAAAAATCAGTATTAAGAGAACTCTCATAAGGTGAAAGAGGAGGAGGAAGGACAAATTCAGGAAGTATAAATCTAGAATAAACATAAATCAATAAACATGATATACTTTGGTAATTTTCTAGGACAGAGTTTTCTAACAGAGACCATGAAAACACTTAGAAGTGAACCAAGAAGTTACAAGGAATCCACCTGTGTTCAATAAATGTAAATTTCACTAGGAAGACATCTTTTCAACATTAGTTGACCTATGTAGGAAAGAGTTGTAGCCTAGAGGACTACAACTTGACTTCAACAAGATATGAGTGCCATTACTTGAACTTTGTGGGAAAGAGAAACTGATAGCAGGGGTCCCCAGCCAGGCCACACAGCAGGAGGTGAATGGAGGGCAATTGAGGGAGGCTTCATCTGTATTTGTAGCTGCACCACATGGCTGTTATTTTCACCTAAGCTTCTCCTTCTGTTAGATCAGTCCTGAAAGGCCTGCTTCCATTTCCAACAGCCTATCTTTGTGAAGCAGAGTTTTCTGCAGTGACAGCAACCAAAACGACATTATGGAGTAGACTAAACACAAGCAAAAACATACTTCTACTGTCACCCCTAGATGGGACCGTCTAGTTGCAAGAAAACAAGCTCAGTGCTTCCACTGGTTCTGCATTATAGTAAGTTGAATAATTAGGTCATCATATATTACAATGTAATAACAATCAAGATAAAGTGC